CAATGGCACGTAACGTCACATTTACCTCAGAAAAACATATTCGGTGTCCATAAACTCATTAGTCAGCTAGAAAAATAAACTGTAGAGAGGGGCATTTTGCTAAATATATGCACCACATAACATATTCATTATAATTTTTACAGTTCTAATGTTTAATTAATGTTTGAATAAATCCGTCATTTTTTATGACAGCCACCATTTAAATTTTTATATTAAAAAAAATGAATTGAAGTAGAAATATTAATATGTAATTGTAACTTTATTATTTTAAAATTTTCATTGTGTAATTTTAACAGTTGTATGCTATAGCTTACAAATCGGTTAATTTTAACCTTCAATATTATATTAATGTAGTACCAACTGACTCTCATGTATATTTTACAGCATTAGTTGAGAGATTTTTTTTCCTTGAGAAAATTTGGCTAGTACTGTACCTGATATATATCCAAAATAATCGATATTGAATTTAATCGAATCGAATTGGTAATCGAATCGAATTGAAAGCTTGTGAATGAGAATCGAATCGTGAAATTTGTGTCAAAACCCAGCCCTACTATCTAGTTTATGTTTTTACTGTGTCTTAATGATTACTCTTCTTCAACTAAATCTTATTTAAATTAAGTATTTTTCTCTAGAAGCAGTCTCTAAAATGATTTTTAAAATATCCATTAGTCATGAACAACTGGCTAAGTCATCAATATTATTTGGGAACACTTTCCTAAGAAAAGCATAGTTTTGCTTAACATAAATGAGCCCAAATCTCAGGCATGAAGATGTCAAGCAGGGCAGGCATTTTTTATGATGGTGTCAGAATAACAAAAAATGTTGGTATGATAGGGAAAATCTGATGTCTGTATGTTCATATGCCACTGTTAATATGCTAATTTAGACTTGAGATGCCCTCCAGTGAGCAACTCGCACTGCTGTGCTTGTTGCATTTTTATTGTCTGATATTTTTCCTGCTATCTTGCTAGTCATAATAGGAATGTTTGTTAACCTTGACCAACCATGAGACCATCTCTAAAGATTTCACTTGTACTTCAAACATAAACAATTACAGTGAGATGACAATGAGTTTCTATTCTTGCATAACTTCATAACTCTAATGAGGTTGTTTCAGTTTCTTAGCAACAAGAAAGACTTGGATAAGTATAAAACAAGCTAGTATGTTGATGGAATGATTGCCATTGTGTTTAAAGAGAAATTAATGTTTGTATGGAAGAAAGATATATAAATATCTAAAAAGCAAAGTAATATTAAAGTATGAATTTAAGTAAATAAAGTCACTGGTCTCCTGAATTAAAAAAAATGATGCAGAAAAATAAGCGATGGACATAAGATGTAAAGATTGTATGTTGAGGTAATTAAAAATAAATAAAAAAGTAGGCCAGTTAAATAATCTACACTTAAGGACACAGCTCTCATTATTGTCTGGTTCCTCTAGAATAGTGCAGGATGTACACAAGTAAAGTGTTAACCAGTGTCACACAGCAATGACAAAATAGCAAGTCAATTGCAAATTAACTTGCAAGAGGTCAGTGTGGCAACTGCCAATTCAGTTTGCTGTGAATTGATTTGTGCTAGCCTCTCTGGGAGGAAAAGAGCAAAAGGTCTTTAGTTTCTTCCTTGCAGATTCACAAAGAACGCCATGGGTCAAAGCACGAAAGCAGCATCTGCAGATGAAGGTCAGATGGTTCTTGAGTGAAACACTGGCTCTTTATTGGAAAAGCATACTTCTCACAGCGGAGCACTGGATGCAGGATTTTGCATAGTAAACACGAGGTACCGTTCGCATCAAGAACAATAACTGTAAAGAGAACTATATTAGTGTCCACACCAACGCAAAATAAAGACCTGTTTATTATAAGCGCGCTGCAATTATGTTGTCTGCCACTTTAAATGCTCAAAGCTTTAAAAGAATTATGGTTGGATCTCAATGTTTTTATTGGTTCATCAGAAAAAAAAAGGTTTTGAATGTTTCCATCGACATCGTTCGACATTAACGTCATAGTTGTGGTGTGGGCTGTGCTATTATTTTAAATGTTGATTTTTAAAACTAAATCTTTTTTCTATCTATTTATAAAGCTATATATTTATCATTGTCGCTGGTGTGAGCGGGCCTTATCCTGGAAAATGCTTATTTTCAAACCAGGCCACTGCTGAGCATTTTCGTTTTCCGTCACAGTTTATGATTCATAAGTTGATGTACCAGTTTAAAAGCGTGAAACTTTCCAATCTACCTGTGGTGATAACATTATCTGTGCTCTAAATGCTCTCAAAGTAATATTCAGGGTTCAGTGCAATATTCTATATTCTCTAAAATCCTCAAGCTGATTTTCTTTTTGCAAGATGCTGTGAATAAAATAGATGCTATTCACACTGTTCCAAACAAACACCAGCTGTGCTTCCTAACTATACGCTTATTTACAATATTCTGGGTGCTTGTTGTTCAGCTGCAGATATGAAGACGCATTGATGTGGATCCATCGATCCTCCAAACCAGCCAATCGTGGGTCAATATCTCTCAGCAAAGATGCCTTATCCATTCATCTGAAAATGTAGATGTAAGTGGGTCTTTCTTAGGGCATATCTCACGCTGGGGGATCACCTGACACTGTCTTTCTGATCAAGCAGTGAGAAATCAGCTCTTGAAAAATGGAGATGCAAACCATGCGGTACTGGACACAGTCGCTGCAATCTCTCATTTGCTGTAGCATCACTGGAACTGCTGTCCAGCTAAACTCCAAAGATGAGCGAAAGCAAAAGAGCCATGTTTTAGCATAATCTGTGAAAAGCCCATGCAAGTGGTTTGATCATCAGCAGGGGAGTTATGTGCTTTCTGAAATCTGAAGGGAATGAGGAGTTATGTTGGTTTTTAAATCACTGCTCTGCTGCGTAATGGATTTTTGTTCTGAAAGCTCTCCATTTGGAATTACTTATAAAGATTTAATGAGCATTAATCTAATCAGCATGGGAAGTCTTCATTGCTGTCAATAAGATGCAAAGTGTATGCTTGAATCTGCTGCAGTGACCATGAAAGTCACATTTCATCGTGTATGAAAAAAATGCTTCTTGAAATCTTTATTTTTGCTCTTAAAAATAAAAGTTCTTAAAGGGGTCATATGATGTTGCTAAAAAGAACATTATTAGCGTCACACACGGCGGGCTAGAGTGAGCGGAGGCCTGCGGGCTTGAGAACGGCGCGGCCGGTGGATTCGACGAAGGAGCGGCCGGTGGGCTTGGGGCAACCACATGTGACGACCCCGGGCTGGACTCCGCTTCGTAGTGCGAAGTTGATGTATTCCCTCAGCAACCAGCACGAATCAGCTCCAGGCATGACGAAGCAGATATCGTCCTCTTTTGGAAGGCCAAACAAAGTAGTTTCGCTTTCACAACTAAACACACAGCGCCTTCACGACATGGCGGCAGCAACAATACTACAGCGAGAATAAAAGTTGCGCCTTCTTTCTTTGCGTGAACATTTGGGCGGCATTATGCAAATCTTCCCACATAGTGACGTAGATATGTGGAGGCGTGTTAGAACGAGCCGTTTTAGGTAGGCGTGGTTGACTCTTAACTTTTATAAGAATATCTCTTTGGATTTGAGACTTTAGTCTTTGCAACTTTACAGATCTTCTTTATGCACCAAGAGCTTGTAACACTCCAAAGAGAAAGGAAAAATTGAAATCGCATCATATGA